CTCTGAGGATAGAAGCAAGCAATTCACATATGCGGCAAGCGGCAACAGAGAGATCCTTATTTCTGGAAAGGTGGATTTTTAGAAGTAGAAGCTCAAACTGTTTGGGTACAGACCTGGATAGTATGATAGAGCTCTGCAAGCTATCTGTACAGTAGATTGCAACTCCGCCCCCTTTGGCAGTTCTATCTAGACGGAAAATGTTGTAGTTCGGGATGGAAATTTCTGAATTTTTGGTGGCCTTCCTAAGCCAGGATTCAGACACTGCTAGAACATCAGGGTTGGCAGAGTGTGCTAACGCAGTGAATAACTCAAACTTGGGGAGGAGGCTTCTGATGTTAACATGCAAGAAACCAAGGCTTTTATGGTTACAGATGTCAACAAATGATAGCGCCTGGGGAGTAGGAGTGATACTGGGGGCTACAGGGCCTGGGTTAACCTCTACATCACCAGAGGAACAGAGGAGGAATATAATAAGGATATGGCTAAAGGCTTTAAGAACTGGTCTTCTAGTGCGTTGGGTACAGAGAATAAAAGGGGCAGATTTCCGGGCATTGTAGAATATATTCAGGGCATTATGTACAGACAAGGATATGGAAGGATATGAGTACAGTGGAGGTACACCTAAGCATTGGGTAATGATGAAAGAGATGGCATCACTGGAGGTAGCAATTGAGCAGTAAAGGAACAGTCCAGCAGGCATCAGCTGTGTAGCTGAGTGATCATAAGGTCCAGTGAACAGCAATAGGTAAGTCCGGGAGCAGTTCGTAGGCCACTACAGGCGAGCAGGAGGCATGGCTGTTGATTGCACGTGCTAGCGGACCGGGGCAAGCAGATGGATCTTCGTGGTCGTCGCAACAGGAAGCCTGTTGAAACCACATCAGACGATTACGTCGGCAGACCAGTCGTGATGGATCGGCGGGGCTCCGTGTCGACACTAGGAGGTCCCGTCCGGTTGACAGAGAGGTAGATAGCCGGGAGATGGGCCTGGCTCAAGGCTAGGTCAAGGCTAACTGTGCGTCGGGACAGTGGTGATTAGCCAACAACAGCCATTCGGTTGCAGCTAGCTAGTTGCGATGATCCGGTGTTAAGGTCCAGTGATTCAGTGATTCCGGCAAAAAATCCGATATGCTCTGGGTCGATAGCACACTGTGCAGACTGGCCGATAATTGTCCAGGCTAGAGCTGGCTGGTAGGTAGTGCAGGCCACGGACAAGGGTGAAGACCGCTAACGGTGGCTAATAGCATGTACAGTGGGGGAAAAAGTATTTAGTCAGCCACCAATTGTGCAAGTTCTCCCACTTAAAAAGATGAGAGAGGCCTGTAATTTTCATCATAGGTACACATCAACTATAACAGACAAATTGAGGAAAAAAAATCCTGAAAATCACATTGTAGGATTTTTAATGAATTTATTTGCAAATTATGGTGGAAAATAAGTATTTGGTCACCTACAAACAAGCAAGATTTCTGGCTCTCACAGACCTGTAACTTCTTCTTTAAGAGGCTCCTCTGTCCTCCACTCGTTACCTGTATTAATGGCACCTGTTTGAACTTGTTATCAGTATAAAATACACCTGTCCACAACCTCAAACAGTCACACTCCAAACTCCACTATGGCCAAGACCAAAGAGCTGTCAAAGGACACCAGAAACACAATTGTAGACCTGCACCAGGCTGGGAAGACTGAATCTGCAATAGGTAAGCAGCTTGGTTTGAAGAAATCAACTGTGGGAGCAATTATTAGGAAATGGAAGACATACAAGACCACTGATAATCTCCCTCGATCTGGGGCTCCACGCAAGATCTCACCCCGTGGGGTCAAAATGATCACAAGAACGGTGAGCAAAAATCCCAGAACCACACGGGGGGACCTCGTGAATGACCTGCAGAGAGCTGGGACCAAAGTAACAAAGCCTACCATCAGTAACACACTACGCCGCCAGGGACTCAAATCCTGCAGTGCCAGACGTATCCCCCTGCTTAAGCCAGTACATGTCCAGGCCTGTCTGAAGTTTGCTAGAGTGCATTTGGATGATCCAGAAGAGGATTGGGAGAATGTCATATGGTCAGATGAAACCAAAATAGAACTTTTTGGTAAAAACTCAACTCGTCGTGTTTGGAGGACAGAGAATGCTGAGTTGCATCCAAAGAACACCATACCCACTGTGAAGCATGGGGGTGGAAACATCATGCTTTGGGGCTGTTTTTCTGCAAAGGGACCAGAACGACTGATCCGTGTAAAGGAAAGAATGAATGGGGCCATGTATCGTGAGATTTTGAGTGAAAACCTCCTTCCATCAGCAAGGGCATTGAAGATGAAACGTGGCTGGGTCTTTCAGCATGACAATGATCCCAAACACACCGCCCGGGCAACGAAGGAGTGGCTTCGTAAGAAGCATTTCAAGGTCCTGGAGTGGCCTAGCCAGTCTCCAGATCTCAACCCCATAGAAAATCTTTGGAGGGAGTTGAAAGTCCGTGTTGCCCAGCGACAGTCCCAAAACCTCACTGCTCTAGAGGAGATCTGCATGGAGGAATGGGCCAAAATACCAGCAACAGTGTGTGAAAACCTTGTGAAGACTTACAGAAAACTTTTGACCTGTGTCATTGCCAACAAAGGGTATATAACAAAGTATTGAGAAACTTTTGTTTAATTGACCAAATACTTATTTTCCACCATAATTTGCAAATAAATTCATAAAAAATCCTACAATGTGATTTTCTGGATTTTTTTTTCTCATTTTGTCTGTCATAGTTGACGTGTACCTATGATGAAAATTACAGGCCTCTCTAATCTTTTTAAGTGGGAGAACTTGCACAATTGGTGGCTGACTAAATACTTTTTTCCCCACTGTAGCTAGTTAGCCGGCTGGCTGGCTAGTTTCAGCCGTAGTTTCACCCAATGTGAATCCATTCCACATTGGGTGAGGCGGGTTGCAGGAAAGTATATTTAGTTAAAGGACGGAAAAAATAAGGTTTGAAGGTCTTTCCCTCCCAGAGAGATGACTTATGTTACAACAGGCAGTGTCTTTTATTCTAATTAGCGTGTGATTAGCAAAACCTGGATTAGCATAGTTTAATTGTTTGTTTGACTGTGTTTTTCTCCGTGACTGGCCGTGTGCGTGTGCGCATGTGTGTGTTCTGCGTGACTGACTGACTGCCCCGGGAGGAGGACGCCATGAGGCAGATGCGTCTGTCGGCGTTGATCCCCTGGGGTGGCGTGCTCGATATCTGACCCCCACATGACCTCCTGACCTCCCAACTGTTTGATAGGGCTTTACTTTATGTGATTTGTTGTTTTAATTCAGCTACATTTGATTCAGATACGGCCAAGAGGAAAAATCATTAACTTGTATGTAATGCTTAGTAACAATTTAGGCTTGTCTGAATGAGCCTCTATGGTAGTATCCAATGTGAGTTACTAAGGGGGACTATTTGCATGTGACGTTTTCCCATATAATATCCTACATTGACACATCTTTTTTGCCACAAGCCCATATCAGTCAAACAGACTGCTAATGGAGAATTCAATCTCACATTTAATTTGCCATTGTAATGCATTTGTAACACACGTTTCTTTTCCCCTCTGAGGCCATTTGTCATCATAATTTAATCATCGAACAACGGTGCATCAATCTTCTGCCCCTGACTGATATAGCCTATCAGTAAATAAACTTTCAATAAATCAACTTCAATAGTAATTCTTCCCAAGACAGCCACACATGTGGATAATTAGAAAAATGGCCTCAGCACCAAAGGCTGTTGATTTAGTTATCTTGTTTATGCCGGGAGAATGGATGACGTTAAGTAAGTTGTTTTCGTTGCACCCAGAAGCTGTCTGTCATGTTTCGATCTCTTTGTGTTTCTATTGTAGTCTATGTGCGAGAAAGAGCTAGTCTGTGTTCATTAGGGCACATCGTTGCAAAACTTGTAGCAAAGGAAACCAAAAACGAGCATTTCTTATTGGATAGATAGTTACTCCATTCCTGTTTGTCTGTTTTCTTCTGTTTCGTGCCTAATGAACATCACCCAGGAGAGTACCTCTACCTACCCCTAGCTAAAGTGATTGCCAGCATCAACGCCTGTGCTCTGAAATGTGATTATTCACTTTATTATGGAGAGAGCTCCCCTACTGTGAATTTAAATGGCTGCCTTTGGAAAATGTTCATTACATTTGATCTAGCCCATTGTTTCCCAACTCCAGTCCTTGAGTACCCCCAACAATACAAATGTATGTTGTAGCCCCGGACAAGCACACCTGATTCAATCATCAAGCCATCAATGAGTTGAATCAGGTGAGTTTGTCTGGGGCTACAACTAAAATGTGTGCTGCTGGAGTTGGGAAACACTGCTCTAGCCAGTGTATAATCAGAAGGGGAAATTACCTGAGCTTATCGTTTAGCTTTTATCTATCAGGACCTTTTGTGAGGCTGGTTGGTTGATTTAAAGCCTGGGTGCCATCTAGTCACCTGTCCTGGCCTGCAATCATCTGGGTCATATTCATTGGGGCACACTGTAGCAAAACGCTTTTAAGCATAATGTGAAACAAGTGGTTTAATTTTGGACAAAAAAACTAAGTTTCAACAGAACATGAAAACAAGAGGTTCTTCTTGGACAAATCCAGGTAGTCCCTCCCTGTTTTAGTTTGTTTGGTGCCCTACTAAAATAAGTCCCTTATGGCACTGTAGTTGGGGTACCCTCTTTTCAGAGATAAAGACCAATTTACAAATCAGTGGAAATCATAATGAATCGCTAAAAACATTTATTTAAGTCAACATTTAATAAAGCAATTTGATTATAAAGGTCATAAATAGGCCTATTCACAACTAAATTATTATCAATTGATTAAGTGATTCAACAATTATAAGGACAATATGCATAGCAGGAAACTTATTTATACAAGTATTAGCAGAAATCACATGCAAAAAAAAGAAATAAAGAGATAACGCTAAATCTATCAAGGATATAGGAAGTAAAGGTTATGGGTCAATTTGGAATTGGTCTTCAGTAGCAGATAAAGTTGAGGCTCTCCTGGCAGTCCCGGGCTTCCCATGCTCCCTCCGTTGCCATGGCCCCACAGCGGAGGTTCCAGACGGGGCACTGATGCTGTCCACCCTGGGGCCAGGCCTCGTACTCTAGGGGGTCCCCGTTCCCCCACAGCCAGCGGTTGGCCAGGTAGCGCAGGCCCGTCCACACGTGGGCCGTGGTGGTCTGTCCTCTCTGCTCTCCCTCTGGGCCAGAAGCAGCTCCGTCTCAGACACCAGGCTGGTGAGGTCAGTGTGCTGCTCCCTGCAGTACTCCAGAGCCTCCTCCCACGTCTTGCTCTCCCTCACCATGATCAGCTTAGAGCAGAAGAAGAGTAGCTGATAGTATACAAACCAATCAGACCATAGGCTTCTTTAGGCCCGTTGTTTGGTTGATCCTTGTCCCAGGTACCAAGGTAGGTTGCGTATCCGCCTCCTGACCACCTCCAGCCTGTTAGGTTGTGGGTCTCTCTGTACAGACCAATCCAGGTGAAATAATGAATCCATCCACCTGCTGACCTTTGTACCTGCTGCTCTTCCCACTCACTGCTGATGGAGGACAGGTTGGTGTAATGTTCTCTGCAGAACTCCTGAGATTGTAACCAGCTTTTCCCGGCAGAAACATAGACGTGCTTCCCGGATACAGAGGTGTATGGTTGATTCCCCCCGTCTCCCATCACCCCAAATACCCACCACACACTGGACATGAGGAGCACTGTGTAAACGGTCTTCTCCATGACAGTGTTGTGTTCAGATTTGAGGTGAAGTGTGTCTCTTCTGCTGTTGCTGTTATGTCTGATGAGGCTGGTCTGTTTTGAGGCACGATGGTCCAATAGAAGAAGAGCTTTACATTTTTGTTTTGGAAATATGCTCACCTGTACAAACATAAGGAAGACAACTCTAACATACAAATGATGTCTCTTTGGGAGATCACTGAAGATGGGTGGAAAAAGTTGAACAGGAGTTAGCAAGTTACACGTACAACTTTGAATGAGGGGCCAAAGTTGTTTGTCTTGTCGTTGTGTCTCTACTTGTCAAACAAATTCTCTGACACATGAAAAGGCTGCTCTTAGAAAATGGATGGAAAAGGTTCGGGTCTGTGCAAATAACATGAATAACTTTGAATGAGGAGTGACAGTTGTTAGTTTAGCGCCACTGCTTTAGGAGCGTCTTCCCTTGACACCCCGGCCAGTTCCTCCCTGCCCGGTTGCCTGTGCAAAATAGCCTAGAATCATAGCAAAATAGGATCTGATTTAGAGGAAAATGTAATTGTATTCACACTTTTTAATTACTTTCAATCGACAAATTGACTTTTAACTAACTCAAGATGAGACAGATGGGCCTTTTACAATTGGGACCACACAGTGGGCAGAAAAAGCAAGGAGGTGGGCAGAGCCAAGCAAGAGCTAGAGAGATCCAATTGGCACGTATTAGCATGTACTGTATTTGCATATTTCCGTTAGGGAACGTCTCTGAAGTACGTGTGTGCAAGAACTTGAATTCGCCCTTGGATTCCTTCTAAACAACAACCATTTTAGAAACTCTGGCAAAGGGTAGTGCTGAGCGATTAGGGCTTTTTAAGGTCGGTTCGGTAACGCATTTTCATTTCTTCAAAATTATTTAGTATTTTTTCATGTTGAGATCTCTAAATCCAGCTGAGAATATCACAGATGAAACCACGATTGCCGTCTCCCAGGCTGGGCTCTGCAGATTAAATCAATTATTGGTCTGGATAGGCCAGAATTTGTGACACGTCACTCCCTATGTAAATGTGGGATGTGAAATCTGACACTTCAAGTTAGCTCTTCTGACAGAGTGGTAGCGGGGAGTAGACAGATGGGGCTTTCTGGCACTATAAGGCACTGGACCCTGCAATGTTCACAGAGTGCTTTGTACACCAAAATGTTAGTCGGAACTGGTCTAGAACCGCTCAAATATCCCTTTGAGCATGGTGAATGAAGTTATTAATTACACTTTGGATGGTGTATCAATACACCCAGTCACTACAAAGAAACAGGCATCCTTCCTAACTCAGTTGCCGGAGAGGAAGGAAACCGCTCAGGCCAAGGGTGACTTTAAAACAGTTACAGAGATTAAACTCTGTGGTAGGAGAAAACTGAGGATGGCTCAACAACATTGTAGTTACTCCACAATACTAACCTAAATGACAGCAAAAATAAGGAAGCCTGTACAGAATAAAAAATATTCCAAAACATGCATCCTGTTTAGAATAAGGCACCAAATTAAAACTGCAAAAAATGTGGCAAAGAAATTAACTTTGTCCTGAATACAAAGTGTTATGTTTGGGGCAAATCCAACAAAACACATCACTGAGTACCACGTTTCCTATTTTCAAGCATGGTGGTGGCTGCATCATGTTATGGGTATGCTTGTCATCGGCAAGAACTAGGGAGGTTTTCTTTTTAGAAAAATAAACGGAATAGAGCTAAGCACAGGCAAAATCCTAGAGAAAAACCTGGTTCAGTCTGCTTTCCACCAGACACTGGGAGATGAATTCACCTTTCAGCAGGACAACAACCTAAAATACAAGGCCAAATATACATTAGAGTATCTTACCAAGATGACATTTAATGTTCCTGAGTGGCCTAGTTACAGTTTTGACTTCAATTGGCTTGAAAATCTATGGCAAGTCTAGCAATGATCAACAACCAACTTGACAGAGCTTGAAGAACTTTACAAAGAATAATGAGCAAATAGTGTACAATCCAGGTTTGCAAAGCTCTTACAGACTTACCCAGAAAGACACACAGCTGTGATCACTGCCAAAGGTATTCTAACATGTATTGACTCCAGGGTTTGAATACTTATGTAAATGTGATATTTCTGTATTTCATTTTCACTTTGTCATTATGGGATATTGTGTGTAGATGGGTAAGAAATATTTATTTTTTATCCATTTTTGAATTCAGGCTGTAACATAACAAGATGTGGAATAAATCAAGGGGTATGAATACTTTCTAAACTGGTCCAGAACAGTGCCTTGAAAAAGTATTCATCCCCCTTGGCGTTTTTATTTGGATTTCATGTAATGGACATACACAAAATAGTCCAAATTGGTGAAGTGAAATGAAAAAAATTACTTGTTTCAAAAAATTCTAAAACATAAATAACGGAAAGGTGGTGCGTGCATATGTATTCACCCCCTTTGCTATGAAGCCCCTAAATCTGGTGCAGCTAATTACCTTCAGAAGTCACATAATTAGTTAAATAAAGTCCACCTGTGTGCAATCTAAGTGTCACATGATCTCAGTATATATACACCTGTTCTGAAAGGCCCCAGAGTCTGCAACACCACTAAGCAAGGGGCACCACCAAGCAAGCGGCACCATGAAGACCAAGGAGCTCTTCATACAGATCAGGGTTGGGTTATAAAAAAATATCAGAAACTTTGAACATCCCACGGACCACCATTAAATCCATTATTAAAAAATGGAAAGAATATGGCACCACAACAAACCTGCCAATAGAGGGCCGCCCACCAAAACTCACAGACCAGGCAAGGAGGGCATTAATCAGAGAGGCATCAAAGAGACCAAAGATAACACCTGAAGGGGTTGCAAAGCTCCACAGCGGAGATTTTAGTATCTGTCCATAGGACCACTTTAAGCCGTACACGCCACAGAGCTGGGCTTTACGGAGGAGTGGCCAGAAAAAACCTACATACATACCGTACATTCCTCTCGCTCTCATGTGGTCTGTGCGGGGCCAGAAAGAATAGGCGCAATGGATTCTGGAGATTATAGTTAATTACTATGTTTTCTGCACTGACCTGGGTTGAATATTTGCCTATTGAAAACTACAACTCCCTACAGCGTCCCACAGTTCTTCTTGATTTGATGTCTCTCGTGCTTGTTATGATTTCTCTTTAGAGAAACGGCGCGTTGAGCTCACCATTTTTTTTACTATACTAAACAAAAATATAAATGCAACATGCAAAAATGTCAAAGATTGTACTGAGTTACAGTTCATATATGGAAATCAGTCAATTGAAATAAATTAATTAGTCCCTAATCTATGGATTTCACATGACTGGGAATACAGATATGCATCTGTTGTTCACTGATACCTTAAAAAATAAGGTAGGGGCGTGGATCAGAAAACCAGTCAGTATCTGGTGTGACCACCATCTCCACATCTCCTTTGCATAGAGTTGATCAGGCTGTTGATTGTGGCCTGTGGAATGTTGTCCCACTCCTCTTCAATGGCTGTGCAAAGTTGCTGGATATTGGTGGGAACTGGAACACACTGTCGTACAAGTCGATCCAGAGTATCCCAAACATGCTCAATGGGTGATGTGTCTGGTGAGCATGCAGGCCATGGAAGAACAGCGACATTTTCAGCTTCCAGGAATTGGGTACAGATCCTTGCGACATGGGGCCGTGCATTATCATGCTGAAACATGAGGTGATGGCAGCAGATGAATGGCATGACAATGGATCTCGTCACGGTATCTCTGTGCATCCAAATCACCATTGATAAAATGCAATTGTGTTCTTTGTCCGTAGCATATGCCTGCCCATACCATAACCCCACCACGTTGACATCAGCAAACCTCTCGCCCACACAACGCCATACACAAACATGGTCTGTGGTTGTGAGGCCAGTTCAACATACTGCCAAATTCTCTAAAACAACGTTGGAGGCGGCTTATGGTAGAGAAATGAACATTAATTTCTCTGGCAACAGCTCTGGTGGACATTCCTGCAGTCATCTTTTATTTCAGCTCATGAAACATGGGACCAACACCTTACATGGGACCAACACCTTACATGTTGATTTTGTATTTTTGTTCAGTGTAAATGGAATTCAAGAAATTGAACCTATGTCAAATAAATATAGTATTTGGTTAATCGCTCAGCACTAGCAAAGGGTCAAGTCTATAAAACTTGGTGCGCTCTATTCCTACCAGATTTGAGTTTTGAACAGAAAACTGTACTGAGATAGGATGTGTCATCCGTGAGAACATTTGCAGAATGTCAGCCCAGTTTAATCTTGCTACATCTTCTGCCTCTACCTTGCCACTGCACTTCCTCTCATCACCATATTTGGTAATGATTGGATGCCCCTAGCAGACGCTTCAAGTTTTTCTACGTGTCCAGTCTGGGTTTCCACTTTTATGTCAACACTAGTTATTATTTACCACTTAGCTACCCCATTTTGTTTGCCTTCTGTTGAAACAGCTCACCTGGCTGGGTCAGATAGTTTAATTTAAAGACAATCATTGAGCTAGTTCACCTGTGTAACTTTCAGAACACTTTTTCAAAACACTTTTGCATGTGCCAGGTGTTCCATACAATTTTGTTTGGTAGGACGACACATGAAAAGACAAATGACTGTTGCTCCTCATTCAAAATTATGCACTTCATTTGCACACATTTGTTCAAACTTTCCTGTCCACTGTGTACCCACTGCATCAGTCACATTTCCAGACATCGGACAGGGAATTTGTTTGTGGAAAAAAGAACACCATTTGTGTTTTTAGATTTGCTTGCAGCATGTTTGAATGAGCATGCAAAGAAACTTTCCTTTCAGCCTGTCTCAAAAACAACTAAGAAATGTAAAGTTCTGCTCTTGGTCCATTGTGCCTCCAAACAGATCAGCCTCATCCTCATCCTCATCACTCATCAGTCAAATCATCAGACGGAGCAGACACAGCAGAACAGACACACTTTACTTCACACCTCACATCTGAACACAACACCACAATGGAGAAGACCATCTCCACAGTGCTCCTCGTGTCCAGTGTGTTGGGGGTATTTGGGAAGAGACTGATTAAATTTTGGGACAATCAAAATTCTTTGGTATCTGGGAAGCACATCTATGTTTCTGTTGACATAACCTGGGCACAAGCTCAGAAGTTCTGCAGAGAGCATTATACTGACCTGTCCTCCATCAGCAGTGAGTGGGAAGAGGAACAGCTAAGAAGTGTTGCAAGTAGATGGTTGTATCGTTGGATGATTGGTCTGTACAGAGAGCCTTACAACCAAACAGGCTGGAGGTGGTCAGGAGGTGGATATGCAACCTACTTTGGGACCTGGGCACTCAAACAACCAAACAACGGTCTCTTGGAAAACTATGGTTTTCTCTATTGTGATGGGTGGCATAACTATGAGAATGTTCCATCCCCCTTCTTCTGCTCTAAGCTGATCATGGTGAGGGAGAGGAAGACGTGGGAGGAGGCTCTGGAGTACTGCAGGGAGCAGCACATTGACCTCACCAGCCTGGTGTCTGAGACGGAGCTGCTTCTGGCCCAGAGGGAGAGCAGAGAGGACAGACCACCACGGCCCACGTGTGGATGGGCCTGCGCTACCTGGCCAACCGCTGGCTGTGGGGGAACGGGGACCCCCTAGAGTACGAGGCCCCAGGGTGGACAGCATCAGTGTCCCCGCCTGGAACCTTAACTGTGGGGCCATTGCAACGGAGGGAGGGTGGGAGGCCAGGGATTGTCAGAAGGGACTCAACTTCATCTGCTACTAGAGACCTTCTTAGGGAAGAGGGACCTGAGAATCTCATATGGTGCATCTCAATAGTCCAAATTGCTTTCCTCTCAAATTCGAATAAGATTTTAATTTTAAAAATACACTTTACTTCACACCTCACATCTGAACACCGCAATGAAGAAGACCATCTACACAGTGCTCCTCATGTCCAGAGTGTGGGGGCTAAGAGATTGATGAAAGCCTCATCTTGGGACAATCAACATTCTTTGGTATCTGGGAAGCACATCTATGTTGGACAAAACATGGGCACAAGCTCAGGAGTTCTGCAGGGAGCATTATACTGACCTGACCTCCATCAGCAGTGAGTGGGAAGAATAGGGTGCATCTCAATAGTCCAAATTGGTTTCCTTTCAAATTCTAATAATATTTTAATAAGAATGATACAAATCCACCATTTTAATTTAAACATGTCCTTTCTTGTAAAAATGTTCCTACCACAGTGAAAAAGTACACATACTGTACAGTACAGGCTCTTACAACTTTTCAATGAGAGATATCTTACTTCCTCCTTTAGGTTTAACTTTACTGTGAGTCATTGGAGGTAAGTAATTATGTCTGTTTTAAGATACTTATCAAAGCAGCATAGCCTTTGCTATTAGGCTCTAATACGTACTTCCCCAGAAAAACACAGTTCTGACAGCGAGGCGGAATATGAGCCAATTACGACTGTTTGTGCATTTCCATTACTAGCGTGTCGGGTTCTATATTTACCGTGGCAAATGAAATAGCCGCCGGGGTGCTAATAGCTAACAGCGTCTTTGACACAAGCACATTGGAGATGAACAACAGGTTATGACCAAGGGTCCAACGGAGACCAGGCGCTAATTGGAACAGGTTGCACCTCTCTACTGTACTCCTTGCCTTACAGAACAGACCTGAGTATACTTAGTAATGATCAAACCCAGTAGGTGGGCAGAAGGAGGCAGCAGAGCGCCATTCAGTGCTTAATCAACCAATCCGAGACCTCTGCACCTCTTTCATGAGGTTATTAGACAGGAAGTGTGCCTCACAGGGGGTGCTGCCGCAATGCCAACCTGAGGTGATTACCAAGGCAACAAACTCTGACGGTTAGGCCTACACACAATGAGACCTCAGCATTAGGAACTTTAATATTATTAGATAAGGTTGGATAATCCATTAACTTCACACTGTTAGTCGAGATTAGAAGTCACCCCTCACAAGTTCTTCTTGTGTTTGAGCGGCTCACTGGTTGTAATTAATTCAAATATTATTTAATTATACTAGTGTGGCTACCCAAATCCTTACTGCAATCTGATTATTAAAGTGCCCCACTAATTTGATTTTATGTTGCCATACCAACCACGAGCAGACAAGCTCTCCAGGGATTTTTAATTGGTGGCAATTAATGTAGTTTGTCCAGTGTTAGATGTCCAATTATGCAAAATAATATGTCTATTTTTCAAAGGTCAGTCAATGTTGCAGAGAATATGTATTAGTGAAATTGATAGTTTTCCATCAAAACGGAATCAAAAGTGGAGAGGTGTTCTTCTGGGCCCGTAATCAAAAAGCTTCTCAGCGTAAGCGTGGTGATCTAGAATCAGTTTTCTCTTTTAGATCATAATGTTTAAGATTATATGAACTGGGAGGATCTGATCCTAGATCAGCACATACTTTGTCAATACAGGCCCTGGACCTTTAATTGTTTTGCACCTGCTTTGTCCATCACAGTGGTATAACTGCCAGGCAGGAAGAATCCCATTAGCCATCACTGTCACTGTTACCATGGTGACATACCATACCCTTGCCATTTGTTTGTTTTTCTAAATGACACGTCTGACTGGAGCTGAGGAGATATCCTTGAATGGCCCACTACAGGAACAAGCACTTCTCATGTGAGGTTAAAGGACAGGTGTGTGTTCGTGTGAGGGTGTATGTCTGCACGAGCGTGCATGTGTGTATGTGCGCATGTGCCGAGGGTGTGTGTTTGTGTGCGTGTGTGCGCCCGTGTGTGACCCCGTGTGTGACGTGCACATATGTGTGTGCATGTGTGTGTGTGTCTCTGAGAGTGTGTGAGAGACGTACATGTGCACACACACACACACACTTTCAGAGATGCACTTACTCTCAAAGGCACCTCGGCAACATCCAATTTCACAAGGTCCACAAATGATTGAGTGGGGAGAGGTGTTGCGTTTCTATTTATGCCCGTAAACGAAGGCGGCAAGAAAGGTTCCTACCCACTCGTTTCATTGCCGCCAAGCCTGTCACAGAGGTGCCTTTGTTCAGACAGATTACACTACAGAAGAAATTAATCAAATAAATCTTTCAAATGTTTCCCCATGAATATAAACACTGTTTGACTGTAATCAATATTGGATTGGACAGACACAGACTAGACTTAGAGCTTTCAAATGGAAGATGTAAATAAATAAAGTGACATTGCAGTCTGATGGAAGTGGAATATAAATCCCCCCCAGCAAAATAGTATTTTTCAGTTTGAGTACAAATGGGCAAAATAAGCACACACTCACTTTGAAAGTGTGCTTCAAAGCTCGTCAAAGCTAAACCCAACAACACAATCACTATGTACGATCAGTCACCCAACCATTCGCCTATCATTTTTATCAACATACACGTATTTATTTAGACAGTGAAGCAAAATTTTTTTAAATATGGCTCTATACTCCAGCATTTTGGATTTGAGATCAAATGTTTCATATGAGGCGACAGTACAGAATGTCAAGTTTTATTTGAGGGTAGAAATGAAAGCACTTTATGTATCTTGTCCCCCCACTTATAGTGTATTAGAGTAGTCAAAAGGTTAGTATTTGCTACCATATTCCTAGCCAGCAATGACTACATCAAACTTGTGGCTCTACAAACTTGTTGGTGCATTTGCCAAATACTAAACTTTTGACTAAATTTAATACGCTATAAAAGTGAATTTGTCCAAATACTTATGACACCTTCAAATGGAAGGACAAGATACATAAAGTGCATTCATTTCAAAATGGTAAAACAAATGTATGAAAATACCCTCAAATAAAAGGTGACATTTTGTACTTCCGTCTCATATAAAAAATTTTGATCTCAAATCCCAAATGAATAGTTTTAGTTTTACTGTCCAAATCAATACATAGGGGAGTGTACCTCTGTGCTAGCATTTTTTAAAATATCAAACCAGATAGATGCTCGGAATACAGTACATAGCTGGGACTACAGCACCCCAACACACACACATACACACACGCACACACACACTCACACACACACACTACTTGCAATGCAGCAGCTGTATCCACCATAGCCAGTCTGATTTTTAACCTCAGTCCATCAATTTGGAGAGATTTCTATCTGCTCCTACAGAACTTTCATTGAAAGTTTTATATAATATATAATAATATAATAATATAATATGCCATTTAGCAGACGCTTTTATCCAAAGCGACTTACAGTCATGCGTGCATACATTCTTTTTTTTTTTTTGTGTATGGGTGGTCCCGGGGATCGAACCCACTACCTTGGCGTTACAAGCGCCGTGCTCTACCAGCTGAGCTACAGAGAACCTATCACCTCCCATCCGTCTGTCTCTCCCATCCCGCCCCTGTCAATAGTGTTTTTGTGCAGTTTGACGCCCAGCCATCATGCTGGGTTTTGTGTGCGTCCACCTCTGGTCCTTCTCATGAATCTCATATCTGCCCAGCGGAGTGAAGAACTGCCAGGAGTTTCCTTCTCCCAGGCCTTGACACTAACATAGAATACACATTTTTTCAGACTTTTTCACTCCTCATTGCAGTCAATCATGCGACTGGATCGTGTTTTAAAGGCAATATTCATGAGTGGGAATACTCAACATGTCAATCAATTATTGTTCATCGCCACAATCAAAGTGAAGAGTTTTTCCTATGAGAATGTGATATTCCTATGAGAATGTACATTTTTTGTCCTGCTTTCTAGTTTTATAATTGCTCTACAACAGTGTCAGATCAGGTAATGTTGCTAGGGTCTAGGGAACTGGTAATGCCGAGCTACATCTCGTGGCGTTGCAGCATATGTTGCCTGCCAGCATATATCGTCTGCTGAGGGAGACCAGCCAATTAAACAGCAGGCTGTGGCAGGAGGCGCCTGTCTGTGACACCGTCTCCCAGGTGCCTTTGCAGCGCAGGATCACTGAATTTTTGTAGACAACCCCATGGGCTGCCTCCCTTTAGGAGTGCTGCCAGAAGAGGAGTAAGGGGGAGCTTATGTTTTGGCTTTGAGACACAGGGTGTGTGGAGGTAGTAAAATAGCCAGTGGAAGTACTGTCACCCTGGATAAAGAAATGCTTTTCAGGGCCAGTGGTATAGACGTTGCTTCTGGAGTATGTTGTGTTGCAGTGCGGAGGGTTGTGAGTTCGCATCCCAGTCAGGGCGGGATTTCCACTCTGTCACACTTACAGAGCGAGAAAGTCCTACAGTGAAGAGTTGAATTTGACCTTGGAATAAATACAACATTACTCATCAGAGCCTGTGAGACTTTATATGCACGCCGGCAGGAGGAGAAAACTCAATGTGTTATTTATGCAAGTGTCCTCCGTCCTCCAGATTGTCACAAAACCATTTTTAGTTTCTCTACAGCTCCATTCAGTACATTTGTGCTCTTACTGTGGTCAACAATAGATAACAACAGAAGCATTTGAGACGGTATGTCTCAAGTGTAATCTTGCAGAAAGTCAGGTGTCTTTCTCTAACTGGCTATATTGTTTGGTGAGTGTGACTGGACCATTTCACTTTCATGTTTGAGCATCCTGTAGTTACTTTGTATGCTACAAAGACACACAATGAAAGGCAAACAAAAGAAGCCAACAGCAACACCCACCTGAGACAAACATACATGCATTACCTCATGTTGAGAATTGTAATACATATATAATATTACATCTGCATGAATAAGCCTCACACAGATTCTGCTACCGAGGTCCAGACAGTGCTGACAGAGAAAAGCCCAGCCTAGTTAACTGCACTGGCCCACTTGGCAGTGTCTCAGTATGGGCTCTCTCTGTCTCTCTCTCTCCACTTCCCTCTCTCTCTCTGTCTCTCTCTCTCTCTCTCTCTCTCTCTCTCTCTCTCTCTCTCTCTCTGTCTCTCTCTCTCTCTTTGTCTCTCTCTCTCTCTGTCTGTCTCTCCCTCTCTTTCGCTCCACCATCTCTGTCTATCTCTCTCTCTATCTGTCTCTCTCCCTCTCTCTCTCCACCATCTCCCTCTCTGTCTGTCTCTCTCTCTCCACCATCTCTGTCTGTCTGTCTGTCTGTCTGTCTGTCTGTCTGTCTGTCTGTCTGTCTGTCTGTCTGTCTGTCTGTCTGTCTGTCTGTCTGTCTGTCTGTCTGTCTGTCTGTCTGTCTGTCTGTCTGTCTGTCTGTCTGTCTGTCTGTCTGTCTGTCTGTCTGTCTGTCTGTCTGTCTGTCTGTCTGTCTGTCTGTCTGTCTGTCTGTCTGTCTGTCTGTCTCTCTCTCTCTCTCCCCACCATCTCTGTCTGTGTCTGTCTCATTATCTCTCTCTGTCTCTCTCTCTCTCCCTCTCTCTCCACCATCTCTCCACCATCTCTCTCTCAATGTCTCTCTCCCTCTCTCTCCACCCTCTCTCTCTCTCTCCATCCCAACTGTGTTCTACAGTGTTATTTATCCTGGTCTTCTGGAACAACAGCTTATCCTGCCACCCAAGCCTGTTCCAATTAGCTCTGCTTCTGGGGATCATCGGGACACTCTCTAAGCATCTGCTCTGCCACGCACGTGTGTGTGTGACACGGGGTTCAAACCCATGTCTCATGAAAAGTGCATTGGCCCACTAAGCCAAAGCGTATACCAAATTGAAAGGGTAATGTGTGTACCTGTGTGCTGTGTACACAGCTGCGTCTCAGTCTTTGTGTCATATGCGTCATTTGATAAATGTTGCTCAGCTCAACATAACTACAGATCAGTACCTCATTTATTTCATTCGGAACCATGTCTCTTCCATTCCTT